CCCAGGGTTTGATTCTCACTTTGATGTTACAAGCAGAGGATCCACAGCCTCTTTATTCATTCCTAAGCACACTTACGTTCCTCGGGGTGGGCACAATTGCTATTCTTCTCTACCATTTTGAAATGAATTCATATAAGCATCTTTTGCCACCCACAGTTATCCGTCTATGTTGGGTTATCATTTCCTGTATTGAAAGATGATGAGGGAACAGCTTCTCCAGGGGCAATGTCCAATCAGGGAAGAACTGTTCTCCAAAGTAATCATTTCTAAATAGCTTTTCCATAGAAAGAAACCATTAATGATGAAATTTCAGCCTCTTTATCCCCTTTTATGTCAGTAATCACTTAGGTGTCAGTCAGGGAAGTCTGTCAACCACAAAACACTGTAAGGGATAGTTAAGGGTAAGAAAAAGATTTAGGGAAATATGTTGCAGTCAGTCCTGTTAGAAAATTGCTATAGACCAATTATTTTTTAAAAGCCCTTGGCTGAAGAAAAACCACAGGTGGCCTGATAGGCTGAAGGCTAAAGAAATATTAAACCATCTGTCTAAAGCACAATAAATAGTCCTGTGTTAAGTTCTACTTTATGTGAGAAGTGTTCTAAATGATAAACAGTCCCACGTGTTAATGACATTATTCCTCGTGCCATGGAGTCATCAGCGCAGAGCGTTCCTTAACCAGTCATCTTGAATACAATCAGTGAACAGGCCGAGTTATTAATACGCCCAGGCTATTCTCGGCTCCTACACAATCTGTAATGTTATTGATTCCTGCAGGGACATGTCAGTAAATGACTGTTTCTTCTTTCACTCTTAGGAGGGAGTTGCATTTATTTTAGTGCCAGGATCTATGAATCCAGTTCTGAAACAGAGCCACATTTGATGAGATCATTAATTTGCGGGGCTTTTACTTTAGTGGCGCATTTGGCAACGACTCAAGTATAAACACCGATGTCTGATATGGGAGAAGTCCAGTGGGAAGCATGAGCAGATAGTGCACTCTGAGCCCCTAAAAGAGAAAGTGCTTCCCCTTGTTTACTTTAGATCTTTCATTTTGCCGAATGAGGCATCAGCCTGAGGAAGGGAACAAGTCTACTCCGGTTCAGTGAGACCAGATTCTTCTATCCTCAGTGGCATAAAGACAGTTTGCTTTCTTCTTTAGAACTGGATATCCCAAGGAAGTGCCTGGTTATTCAGCTCCTGTGTCTCAGGAAAGACAAGAGGATCTGATCCCTCCACTCGGCTCATTCATTCCTAGGTGCCCCTTAACCGAAGACCAAAAACTGATTCAACTCCTGCCTCGCAAAAGGCACATGCTTGCATGCACGCTGGCCAGGAGAGGGACCC